TTATTTATTAATATATATCTTAGACTATTATAAGCTATTACTATAGCTTTTAAGTTAACTAGATAATACTAGTAACTTATAGAGTTTTATAATACTAGCTATCTTTAATTCTAAGTTACTAGTAAAGCTTACTACTACTAATCTCTTTATAAAGTAGTAATAAACTTTTTAAGTCTACTTATTTATATCTTAAGTTTAGCGTTTATATTATAAAAAAAGATATTTTTCTACTATTTGATAGACTTTAGTTTTTTTCTTTTTAAGTTTTTAAGATAGTTATACTAAGTATAAAGCTATCTTTTACTTTAGTAATTATTTACTTTAAGTATATTACTTAACTACTAAAAATAGAGAAAAATACTAAACTTTATAGTAGTAATTATTATAGTTATACTATTTTATAAAAGAACTTTTATAAAAAGCTTATATATTTTAAAGTAGTATATACCTTACTTCTTATACTTTACTATAGTATTGTAAAGTAGTATAACTTATTTATACTAGCCTATAGCTCTCTTTTATATACTTAGTAAAAAATATAAAATACTAGATTTAGAAACTAAAGTAATATTAGCTAGTACTATAATATTAGCTAGTACTACGCTATATATATTAAGAGAGTTAGATATCTTTAGATATTAGTGTTAATAAAGAAGATTTTCTTTAATAGAGGTTTTACTATTTAGTAAGCGCTAGCGTATATAATAGAATTTATATAGAACTTAGATAGAATTTTATATATAAAAAGATATCTTATATACTATTTTACTACTATACTTTTTATAGTAGTTTTATATATAAAACTTAAACTATAGCTATAGTTATATACTATAGTTATAAGCTATAGTTACTAGCTATACTTTCTTATTACTATTATTATCTATATAAAGCTAAGAAAAGGTAGTAAGCGTAATTATAGTAGCTATAGATAGAATAGAAAGTGTAAAAGTAGTAATTATAAGTTAGGTAGCTAAAATATAGTAAAGATTTAGATTAATTTAAGTTATATATTAAACTATAGTAGCTAAAGAGCTAAGAAAGAGCTAATTAAGAGTATAGTTACAAAAGTATAGTAGTAAAAAGTATACTTTAAAAGAACTTTATTTAGTATAAAAGAATATATTCTTAAATATCTTTTATCTAAATATATTCTATCTAAAGTCTAAAGTAGAATAAAATAATATAAGTAATTTTTATAAAGTATTTTAAGAAGTAAAGTAAGTAGAGTATATACTACTATATATATATAGATAGATACTAATTAAGTTTAAAAAAGTTTAAGCTCTTATAAGTAGTAGATTTTATAAATCTAAATATAGTAACTATAATAAAAAGAAGAAGTGTAAAAGTAGTAAATACTAATAGAATAAGCTTACTATTAAATATAAAGCTTATAACATTATTTAAGAAGTTTATTAAAAATATTAGAGTATAAAATATATATATATATAGAGTATAGAAGTAAGTACTAATAGTATATAGAGGTTTATAATCTTTTTATAAGCGTAGAGCTTTAAAAGTTAGATAAGCTAGTATAGTTTATATTAAATTAACTTAACTTAAAAAGTAAAAGCTATAGTAAAGTAAAGAGAAAGATAATATTAAGTTATAAAATATAAATAAAGTCTATAAAAGATTAAAATAGCTTAGTATTATACTTAAGTATCTAAGTGTCTATAAAGCGTATATAATATATTAGTTAAGTATTATATTAGTATAAGTATTTATATAGTAGAGTAATTATCTATATTAAGAGTAATAGTATTATAATATTACTAGTAATAGTATTTTTATAAGAGTAGCTAAATATAAAGCTATATTTAGTATATTAGTATATATATATAATATAATATAATATATATAGTATATATAAGTAATTAAGTATTACGTAGTATATAAGATAGTGTATAAAGTAGATATATAAATATAAGTATAAGTATAAATAAGCGTATAAGTAGATATATAAGTATATTATAAAGGTACTAGCTAAATAGTTATCTAAGATAGTAGGCGCCTAAGGCGCTACGTAGCCTTAGTAGACTTAAGAGTTAAGTAGATATATATAGATAGGTTATTCTAACTTAGACTAGAGAGTTTAGGTTGAAAGCTCTATATAAAGCTAACCTACCTATTTTAAGAGCTATAAAAGCGTTTTATATACTATTTTAATACTACTAGTTTAAAGAATTTAGCTATAAGCTTTATAATATAAAAAATATAAAATATATAAATACTACTTTATTATTAATTAAAGAGATAAAGTAAAATTTTAATTATAGCTATTATAACTAAAGTAATAAAGAATAGAAATATACTCTAACTAGTAAAAACTAATAGACTCTAATTAAAAAAAAAAAAAAAAAATAGTAGCTAACTATAAAAAATACTCTTAAAACTTTTAAGTTAGTAAAAGTAGTAGTAATAACTAATAGTATATACTTAGTATAGTAAGTAATATAGTATAAAAGAAAAAGAAAAAAGATATTTAAGTAAAATTATATATACTTATAGCCTTATTTAACTACTATATCTATACTTTATAACTTTAGTTATTTCTTTATACTTAAAAAAGCTTATAAACTTTTATAGTACTTATTCTATAAAAGTACTTTTTAATAAATTTAGAAAGACTTTTATTTTTAGCTTCTATTTAGGCTTTTTAGTTTAAGACTACTACTAAATATCTATTACTATAAGTAGGTAAAAAAGTTATTCTTTTATAAACTTTACTTATTTAAAAGTACTACTATTTACTCTAAAAATTTACTATAATTATATTACTTATATATATAGCTAGTATAAAACTTTTAATTATTTTTTCTTTTAGCTTTACTTTTATAAATCTTATTAGTAAACTATATAAGCTTTTTAGTAGTAATAGTTATTTACTTAAAGAAAAAAAAATTATTTATAATATTACTAATAAGATAGTACTAATAATTTATACTATTATTATCTATAATAAAGTATATAAAGTAAAAGAAATAATAAATCTAGTTTTTTCTTTAGCTATATAAAAAGCTATACTATAGTAAAAAGAAACTTTAGCTAAAATACGTTATAAAAGTAATTAAAGCTAAAATAGTAAAATACTATTTATTATAAAGTAGCTATAATAGACTACTATACTTCTTATTAAGAGCTAAAAAAAATAGTTATTATATTATAGTTATTAAAGAATAGATACTATATAACTTAGTATAATATTTTAATTACTACTATACTATATAGTTTCTAACTACTATATAAATTGTAAAGTATAAAAATATCTATAATTATAATTAAGTAGTAGTACTAATAGTAAATATACTAAAGATTCTAAAATTTTAAGTTTTCTTCGCTATTTTAATATAATAGCTAGATATTTTTTAATATCTTTATACTAAATAAAGTTTATTAAATTAAGCTTAAAAGTACTAACTTTTTAAGTTTAAAGAATTATTATAAAAGTTTAGTATAGTATTATTAATAGCTATTAAAAATAGTAATTTAGCTTTACTATTACTATAATAAAAATAAATAAGCTATTTATTATATACTTACTACTTTTAAGCTAGTTACACTATTATAATAACTAAGTTTAGTAGCTTTATTAGTAATTAATCTATATTCTAATAAAATTAGATCTCTATAAAGTGTAATATATACTAGAGCTTAACACTACTAACGTTATTTAGAGAGCTATCTTTTGTACTATATAGTGCTTTAATTAGGCCTTTACGCTAGAGAAGAGTATTGTGCTTAGCGGGGGTCTCTACCTTTTGTTAAGGGGCCGCATCGCGCTTAGCGCTATTACTACAGCTACAGAATGCCGGCGTCCCCAGGCCGTCCCCGACACCCTCGTTATTCCATCGCGGTTCAGAGTTAGATGAGAACTCAGTCGCTAGATCATCTTCATCAAGCAGTGAGAATGGAAAGAGACTTTCGACGTCACGCCCAGAGCGCTAGGCGCGTTCCAATGGGGCGAAAGCAACTTTGGCGTTCCCCTAGCCAGCCTTCCAGCTATACGACGTATTTAGCAGAGCCCGGCGCAACCTCTGCACAACCCCAGTTGCGCAATAGCAGGATCGACTTGTAGCACGCCTGAACTACATACAGAATGTAATCAGGCTCCAGACGTTCTTACGTCAAGGCCAGTTTGTATGCAAGCTGTTACATATCAAGAACCTCTCGCCTCCGGTAGGGTGCGTATACGAGAACCATCGATACGTCGTATTTCGTATACGTCGATATACGCGTTCACGAGTCACGACTTGGGGACTTCGTCGCATCAGGCCACCCCACGGGGAAACATCCTCCAGGTTTCTAAGTCGTTCTATACTTTGCGTCGGAGTTGGGATACCTAGAGAGCTAGGTCGATGTTTTTAGGTCGAAGGCTACCAAGTTTCCCCGCTTCCCAGCGTATCAGTATCATTGCAAAGATACGAAAGGCCGCAGCTTCTGCTTGCAGCCGCAGGCATTTAAGTCAACATGGCGGCCTGTATTGATGGATCTTCAGTTGTATCCAGACTCATCGAGCGCCTTTTCCAAACTTGCGATCTTCTCAGGACTGGCATCAAACATGCATTTCGCAACCGCCCCAGGTGTCGTGTGTCTCATTGCAGCCATCAGGCTTGTATCAGCTGTTGATTCGCCTCTCAACACCCCACTTTGTAAGCAGTTCTAAGCCGACCATCCCACATGAGTGACTGACCGGTGGCAAATGTATAGCCTGGGATGAAGCATCAGAGAAGGCAAAGAGCTTTGTGTCTCAACTCACCTTGTCGGAGAAAATTGGCCTTGTTACCGGGAGCTATGGACGCGCTCCGTTTCTGCCTTGTATCGGCACACTCGCACCTGTCGAACGCCTAAATTACACCGGTCTATGCATGTCCGACGGTCCGAATGGTGTCAACAGAGCAGACGGCGTAAGTGTGTTTGCGTCTGGAATCACGGTGGCGGCGACGTGGGACAGACGACTCATGTATGAGCGAGGAGTAGCCCTTGGGGAAGAGTCCAGAATGAAAGGCGTTCACGTTCTGTTAGGGTACGTCAATCCATCGGCTCTACAGCCTCAGATCCTAGACTCACAACCATGCAGACCCAGTACTGGACCTATGGGCCGCCACCCTCGAGGCGGTCGCGGTTGGGAAGGCTCCGGCCCAGATCCCTATCTTGCTGAACTAGCTATGAATGAGTCTGTCACTGGTATCGAATCCACTGGTGTCCAGACAAGCTCGAAGCATTACATTGGCAACGAGCAAGAAACTCAGCGCAATCCTAGTACCAAGGATGATGGAACAGTTATCGAAGCGATATCGGCAAACATCGACGACCGGACACTCCATGAACTCTACCTCTGGCCATTCGCCAATGCCGTCCACGCTGGAACGGCATCGGTTATGTGTGCCTACAGTCGCCTGAACCAATCATACTCCTGCGCGAGCTCAGAGATTCTGAGCACAATTCTCAAAGACGAACTAGCATTCCCTGGATACGTGGTCTCCGACTTTGGCGCCACACACTCCACAGTGGATTTCGCGGAAGGAGGTCTAGACATGGAGATGCCCGGAAATATCACCGCAGCCGGATTCCCATGTTACTTTGGCGACAAACTCCTCGAGGCTGTCCAGTCGAACAAAGTATCGGAGGAACGTCTCGAAGACATGGCCAGAAGAGTTGCGAAGCCCTATTTCCGACTTCATCAAGACAGGGACTTTCCGATGGTCGATCCTGCCACAGGGCCCACGCTCTTTGTTACTCAGCTTGGACCTGTACCCTCAATGGCAGGAGCGTTCACTGAGGTCCCAGCCATTGACGCTCGCGGCGACCATGCGCGCGGCATCCGCGAGCTGGGCGCAGCCGGCACAGTGTTGCTGAAGAATGTCAATGGCACACTGCCTTTGACAAACCAAACTAGCTTCGGTCTTTTCGGAAACGGCCTCCCAGATCCAGCCATTGGATCAGCATTCGTGCCTCCACGTGCCGAAGACGTTCCAGAGGGCTACGAAATGGGCACCCTTGACATTGGTGGCGGATCTGGCTCTATGCGACACACCAATCTTGTGAGCCCACTCGAAGCCATACGGACGAAGGTGAAAGCTCTCGGAGGCCGCGTGCAATTGCTGTTCGACAACAATGAGATTGCGGCGGGACGATTCGCGACCATCTATCCAACACCTCAAGTCTGTTTGTTGTTCTTAAAGGCCTGGGCAACGGAAGGCGCCGATAGACCGGATCTGAACCTCCAGTGGAATGCTACCATGGCTGTCGAAAGCACAGCAGCGCTATGCCCAAACACTATCGTGGTGACACATGGGCCGGCCGTAGTCTTGATGCCATGGGCGGACAACGAGAACGTGACAGCCATCTTAGCTGCACACTATCCAGGCGAAGAGATCGGAAACTCAATCACTGACGTCCTCTGGGGAACCGTTGAGCCTTCCGGCCGGTTGCCCTACTCCATTCCCAAGAACGAATCAGATGCCGGCCCTCCGATTCTAGTATTGCCCGCGAACACCACAGATCCTGACGCATGGACCATAAACTTTGTTGAGGGTCAGATGATCGACTATCGGTACTTTGACGCAAACCAGGGCAAGGAACCCCTTTACGAGTTCGGCTATGGGCTTTCATACACCGAATTTGACATGGCACCGAGCCTGGACGTGCAACTCACCGCCGGCTCGTTGAACCAACATGTCAACAAGTCCATGGGTAAAGCACCAGGAGGGATGGTCGATCTGTGGACCAACGTAGCTGTAGTGACAGTCAACGTCACTAATACAGGTGATAGAGCAGGTTCCGCTGTCCCGCAACTCTACGTATCACTTCCCCAGGACACGACGCCCCCAGGCACACCTGTAAAGGTGTTGAGAGGGTTCAACAAACTCCATCTTCGCAAAGGCGAGACGAAACAAGCGACGTTTGATCTTATGAGAAGGGACTTGAGCTACTGGGACGTTCAAGAGAAAGAGTGGGTTATTCCGAGAGGTTCAATTAGTCTCTTGTCGGGATTCAGCTCCAAGGACCTACGAGCAAACACAACAATTGCAGTGTAGTGTCTTCCTGTAAGAAAGATAGCTGAGAAATAGATACGCGAGTCGTGGTACGATCACTACAAACTTTGTATGCTAGACTATTAATACATTTGCTACTCTGTTGTAGCTGCTAGAAGCTGAATTTGCTGAATGGCACGTGGGCAAGTCTCATGATCGGCCTTTCGTCTTTTCTCCGTATCCTCTTTGCTACCGCCATCCTCGGCAGCGTCTCGCTTGCGTTTCTCGCCCCTTTCCTCGTCTCCGTCATCACTCTTGTGCCAGAAGCGATGTGGCAAGGTATCTTTGTCTGCAATCTCGGCGTCAGTGATCTCCCTTTCCTCTCTCTGCTTCTCGCTCAATCCTGCAGGAAGACACTCGAGGTCCAATGGTTGACTGTCAAGCCTGAAGAAGACCCGCTGAACAAATTTGGCTCTTGTACGACGACGCGAAAGGTTTTGTCGTAGAGCAGACGTGCTAGTGCTGCTGAATGGGAAGTGAATCCCGAAGATGCCGTCATTTAAGCAATGCTTGTCCTCCACCTCAAGCATCTGCCATCGTTCGTCGGCTAGTAACTTAACGAGCTCACCTTTACCCCAGTCTTCGTAGATGTCGTTGGGTACATTAACGGTCAACTTCTTCAGATTCTTGAACTGAGAAGCGTAGCGAGCCCAGAAGCGCCTCCAGCCAATCATCTCGCGTTTCATGAGGGTTGACTCGGCAGGCGTAGGGCGCTTCGTCGTGCGCAGCCACCCAGAGACACCAGGAACGTCGGCGGGGTATTGAATACTGAGTTCATCAACCATGGCGGCGATGGGCGTGAGATTGAAGACGGCTTGGGTCGGAAGCAACAGTTCACGCTTGTCCGCGTTCTCCCCAACAAAGGTTTTGTAGTCGCCAAAATATAGGTTGCCGTCAAGACCGGACGAAGTAGACATGTTTGTGCGTTCGCCAATGGAGAGACGGATAGGGATGTCAAGACTTCGTAAGGCTGATATCATAGTCTGTATGCGAGAGAGAATATCTTGTTTCGGCAGCATTGTCCGGTTGGGCTCAAGATTGGCTGGAAAGACGTCGGACATGAAGTTATCCCAAGAGAATATGGGCTTCCAGTCGCACTTCTCAGCGAGCCACCGCAGGGCTTCCTGGACCTCTGGCTTGGAGCAAGGGTCGCTGGTCGCTTGGTCGTTGTTTTGCTGCGGAGTCTGGCCAAAATGATGCCGGCGCTGCGTTACATGGACAAGATGGAACGGGTGAAGGACGATGTTTTGGAGACTGTGTATGGGCTTGATGTTGATGTTTGGATATTTCTTGGAGATGGTTTGGAGGCTCTGCAGCAGGTCCTCGAATGAAGCTCCTACGCCCTGCACAACATGATTTCCCAGCTCCATGTGGTCGCGTCCGCAGGCTTCGAAGGTCTTGTCGTCGAATGCCTCTTCCTCATCACGATGGTGATGCCCTTGAGTTATTCGATACGGTATGGGACCGATCACATCGCGATCGCGGCGGTCCTCCATCCATGAGTATAAGCCGATCTCGACGTTTTTTATTCGCGACCAGGCTGTGGCATCGGTAGAGAACAGGGATCGGTAAGGGGCGTAATCGTGTATCCTCAGCTTCGTCATGCTGTCTGGGCAATGCTTCTGCACACCATCCACAAGACAGCAGACGCGCTGGTGGACTTCCCATTCGTTCCATGTGCTAGACTTTACATCAGTACTGGGAGCGTTGTAGAAATTGTACTGGACGAAACTTACTGGAAGCCTGAGTAGCGCTCTCGTATCGCGAGCGTCTTCAGCTTGCTGCACTTTGGAAAGATGACGCTGGCGACAGAACCGCCGTCGCGCCTTCTTGACATGCGAAAGCCCTGCTTGAAGCGATAATCGTTGTATGAGTAGCTATACTCAATCCGAGAGTGCGCAGTGTAGTCAGCCCAATTGGCAACCTCGAGCTCTTCGAGGCGCCCGAATAGCTTGGGGCAAGCAGCAGCCAGCATGCTCCACGTCCACGTCTCTTCTGGGGTCCATACGAAGTCTTTGATGGCCGAAATATCTAAGCTCGTCAAGCATGGCAGGTTTCCTTCTATCCACTTGAAGTCGTCTATACTCGCCCAGTGTGACATTGCCAACTTGTGTACGTGGCGGCGATTCTCATCGGTGATGCTCTCCTGGAAGCCTATCCACCGTATATTACCCAGGCCTCTGTACTTCCAGTCACCTAGTCTGATATCGCGCACATCGTTGAGTTGAATGGGGTATTTGTAGAGGAGCTGGTTGACGGTGACGCTGCTTGCCATGCCTTTGCAAAGCCTCTTCAGGCACCAGGCAGCGTCGCGGTCGAGATAGTCCATGACACACTTGAATATGTCGTCGGGGAGTTTGAGAAGCATACTGCTCTGGGTTGCGGCAGCTTTGGACTTGGGCTGATTGAGTGCATCGGAAGCGACAGGGCTACAATCACGACTTGAAGCAAAGTCGGGCATATCGGGCGAGAGGTATTCAAGGTCGTGCAGGCTGCAGAGATTCATCAAGTAGCGATCGTAGCTCATGGAGGAGAGACAGTGGAGGTGGAGGTGGGAAGAGGGGACAGAGGAGCGAGGGCAGGCTGGGGCGCAGTAGTTGTACCAAAGGAGGGAGTTGCGCGCTTAGGCAACTGACTGTTCACGTGAGTGAGCGAGTGACTGGGTGAGTGGTGTGGTGCGGCGCATGCATGTGCAGAGCCATGGGAATGTTGCAAATGTGAGAGCACAGTCGTGGAAGGCGCGATGGTGTGGCTGGCAGGCGGTGCGCGTAACGGCACTGCGGAGAGGGCGCGGAAGTGCGGCGCCGCCAAGACGCGCATCGCTTTCCAAGCTTCTTTCGCGCGCCGACGACTTTCTGCCTGCGCGAACTTTACTGTCGCAACACCTTCACCCGCCGCAGACTCACCCACGCACTCCCACCATGGCCGACGCCCAGGTCTTCGAAGAGACATTCACCGTCACCTCCATCAACAATGAGAAATACGACCGCGTATCCCGCATCTTCGGCACCTCGACCGACAGCCAAATCACCATGTCGCTCGACATAAACCACGAACTGTTCCCGGTCGAAGCTGGCCAGACCTTGAGCCTGGTCCTGGCAACGACATTGGCGCTGGACGGCAGTGCCAAGGGCGACAACGATTCCATGTGGAGGAGCGTCGGCAAGCAGGGTGTTACAACACTGGCCGACATGTACGACTACGTATGCTATGGGAAGAACTACCGCATGGAGGGTGGTGACGGCGATATCATGTGAGTAAAGTCCGCGCGGAAGTTTTGCCCGTACTGGATGCTGACAGCTGCGCAGAAAGTATTTCGCCAGCTTCGGCGGGCTGCTTCTGTACATGGAGGGCCCTCACAGGAAGCTCAGCGGGCTCAAGATCGACGACATTTACATGCTCATCAAGCACTCATAGTACTAGTGTCTTCGCCTCCACCACGAGTCAAGGGAAGCAAGCATAAATAGGCGTTTGGTAGCATTGTGTTGGTATTGGTATCATCTGGTCTAAAAGTTTCGGCACGGCGTCTGGATACCCCCAAAGGACTTGATAGATTCACTCGTCGCTCTCGCGCGGGAATGTCACGTATTCCTTCTCCTTCTCACAGTGTAGGGAACTCCAGCTTCCTGTGCAGTCGACTCACAATCTCAATGTAGTCGCGCTCGTTCTCCGTCGTCAGAATACCGTGGCGGACCAGAAAGTCGAGCACGACCAACGCGCAGTTCGGCTTGAACTCGCCGTTCCTCATCCCTTGTTGCACCTCTTCCACACTCCACAAGTAAAACTCTTCGACCTCGTCATCGCCCGGCTTCGGGATGGTGTCTTCGGGGAGCTCGAGATCGTAGACATATTGAACTTCGGGCTGCATCAGGTTCGTCTCTCCTCCCGCCCTTTCGCCTCGGATATACCAGTATGTGACTGTGCCGCACGCCTTCGCATTCGCCCGAACAAAATCCTCGTCGAGCGAAGCTTCCTCTCCACATTCCCTCACAAGACTCTCGAACGGTGACTCACCTGATGCGATGCCGCCTGCAACCGCATTGTCAAGCATGCCCCCATACGTCTGCTTTGTCCGCGCCCGTCTCGGCGTCCAGATCTTTAGCTTTCCGTCTTTCCTCGTGAATGCCGTAAGATGCACACCGTAGGTAACCACGCCGAACAGGCAACTAGCACTCCTTTCCACGTTGAACAACAGCTCCTTCCCCAGCCCATACACTGCATACAGCTCGTTCCGCCACTTGTCCAACACTTTGAAGTGGCCTGTCTGCCGCATAGCCAACAGCGTCGTTTCTACCGCTTTCGACCGCTCGTCTGCGTTGGATCCGGCCGTGAGATGGAGAATGCGAGCATCATCGTCGATTTCCCAGCCTGGCACTCCGCGGAAAACCTCGACAACGGAGGGGAGCATATAACCCAGCGCATAGTTGTAGCCCGAGACGCGCAATTGGTAATACGTGTTGATTGACGCGATGTACGTTTCCGAGTTGACGTCGGGATACGGGAAGCCGTCGCATTGGTTTATGAGGTCGAGGTTCGTGAGAGACATTTTGGGTGTATGAGGGGTGGTTGTTGTGTATGCCAGTGCAATTGTTGCGCCAGCTGGGTGTTTGTGAGCTGCGTCATACGCTTACCCACACAAGCTTGGGTGGGGGCGGGGTCTTGAAACAGCAGCCACCATGCTGAGCTTCGCCCGTGCCTCCGGACGTTTTCTTCAAAGACAGACGAGATGAATTTCGCAGACGATCCGGCATGTTTGGCAGTTGCGATGGGACTGACTTGTCAGCTGTCAAGCTTCTCAAGCGTGTCGTGCTCGTATAGTGCTGCCTGAAGCTAGCAAGTGTACAAATCCATCATGTTGCATCGACATTCTTCACTATCTCCCAGTATACAACCTCGCCGTCAATACCCGATTACGCTCTGGTGAAAAATGGAGGCCCAAACTTCCAAGGTCGTTCTTATCGTGCCTAAACAGCATGTCAAGACTGTAAAGTCTGCCCTGGAGCGGGCCGGACAGCTCGACCGGAGCACCAAGATCATACCTGACTTGGACAGCGAGAGAGTACCAGATGTAGTCGCCAATTCGACTGTTCCGACACAAGGTGCCGATTCATCGAATGCATCTCAGTCTGAAGCAGGCACTGTGGCATCACTAGCAGAAGCCTCCCATGCACCATCAAATCTCACACAGCAAGCCCGCTTTCCAAGACTCCATTTTGACGCTACCAGTGGCGAGTATGTCGACCAGTCATTCTTAGAAGACAGAGCCCAGCGCGAAAACCAAAACATTGGAAATGAGACTTCGAGTCTGTTTGCCGAGACGCCTGGTGATCGCGACAATCATATCGGATTCCCCACCCTGCAGTTCGATGTGGTCAGAGGAGAGTATGTCGATCCTTCTACCATGAATGCGGAAGCCGACAAGGCTAAGGGACCTGATCAAAAGCGCATGCGTATCCCCACGACCATTCCGTACCCTACGCAAACAAACGACTCAAACGACATCCTGGATACGGAGGCTTTGAAGTCCAAGATAACAGAAGATCTCGCATTGGGCGAGATCTCCACAGACATATCCATCTCACACCACATCCGGAGTACGGCAGCATCCGCGCATGGGGCTCACCAAAGTCCCCTTCATAAGGCTTTGGGAACCGCGCTTGCCTTGCTTCTGGATCGTGCACCAGTATCGCACACACCCACGGTTGAAGCTCTCGTCACAGCCTTCCCAGACGGATATTCAGTATACAAGCCCATGCTTCTCCTCCCTTACAACGCTTTATCCTCAACACTATGGCACACTCTTCTCACCACCTATCCAGCCGACTCCAACGAGATGAAAGCAGTATGGCGAGATATGGCAAGTTCAGTAGGCGCAACACACGTCGCCATCAACGCGCCTATCCCGATATCCACGTCTTCAACACCAGCATCATCCACCACCACGACAGACAAAGAAAACATACTACGCAGCCCAACCGATCTCACACCTCTATACGGCAATTTCGGTCCTACACCAACTCCGCAATTCATCACCTCACCATCAGCAACAGACTTTGCCTCCGCCCTCTGGGTGACTGCGCGCCAAAACGGTATCTGGCAGACCTGGGCGCCGCTTTACACGATGTTCAGCCGTGGCAATGTGAATGAGAAAGCGCGGATCTTGAATCTTCCTTCTGTGAGCGAGTTGGATGGTGCTTCAACGGCCGTCGATCTCTACGCTGGAATCGGGTACTTCGCTTTCTCGTACAAGAAGAGCGGGGACAGACGGAATGCAGGTATCAAGCGAGTTGTCTGTTGGGAGATAAACCCATGGAGTGTTGAGGGACTGCGCAGAGGGGCGGAGATGAATGGGTGGACGTGTCGGGTGCTCAAAGAGGCAGATATACAGCGGCTTCGAGGGAGTTGCGTGGTGGACGATTCCGATCTCCATCAAGCGGATCTTGTGGTCTTTCAGACGAGCAACGAGAGTGCTGAGATGGACTACGCGTTACTTCCGTCGCCTAAGCCGCCTGTTCGGCATGTCAATCTGGGGTTGTTGCCTTCCTCTAAGCTCTCCTGGGGCGTTGCGGTTGCCATGCTTGACAAACAGCGTGGAGGTTGGATACATGTGCATGAGAATGTTGGCGTCAAAGACGTTGAGACGAGGCGGAAGGTTGTAGAAGAGGAATTTCAGAGACTGGTGGATAAGAGGGATGCTACAACGAAAAGGAAGGCTCTGGTGGAACATGTGGAGAAAGTCAAGATGTACGCACCTGGAGTTGTGCACTGTGTGTTTGATGTTGTCATTGGAGGTGATATCTGAGAACCGTGGACAGTCATCTCTTGCCAACACCACGAAAGCACGGCTGATGTTTCGAGGTGAGCATCAACTAAAGATCTGAATATAAACTACATGGCTTTGCATCACACCAGGTCATATTTGCACGTGCCATGGCAATCACATTTGTCAAATGCATCGGTCGGAAGAATACTAGTAGATCTGATCATTCTATATATGGTATCATAGTTTCCACACCTTGTGTCTGCTAGATATAACGATATCCCCTCAGCAGCACATCAAGTCAAAGCAAAACTCCACCCTGGATGCCGAAAGCGAAGGTCGCAACCTTGCTGTGAGAGTATTCCAACGCCCGCTAAAACGCAGCAAAGACAAAAAGGCAAAGGTCCAAAGGATATAATACATAGATAGCAAAACCTGGAGTCACCACGATAGGAGAGTCGGTACTCTTTCACCGTGTTTATTCGACCTCTGTCAGCCACCTTCGAATTCCCTCCTTTAGGGAAGAGTCGTTCTCGGTTCTTGGGTGAGAGGTCTTGGTCGTCTTGGTCGTTTTCGTTTGACCGCCTTCCTTCGAAGGCTGTCTACCTCCGCGCTCAGTGGCTACGTCCCTGACGACAACCTCCAACGCTTCAAACAGCACGCTCTTACAATCGACATGCGGTACCTCGACGTGTGGAACCACCTCTGACTCTGCTCGTGTATCGCGCCGGCCCCTTCTGCTGCTTGATCGCGATGACTGAGCAGAGTTTACACGAGTCACTTCACCAGACTGTGCCAGTACACGGTCCACGCCGTCGATGAGGGTAGAATCAAAGTCCATGATGATTTCCTCATCGAACTTCTCAGCGAGGTGGACTTCAGTCATCATTGGAACAGCGGTGCCTGAAGTATACGGATTGCCGTAACGCGAGTGAGCGGGAGCCAAACCAGTAACGCCTGGCGTCATGGCCGAAGACTGGTAAGTAGGTGTGGGGATCAGCTTTACAAGGCGTCGTAAGCTGATGCGCTTGATCGAAAAGGAACTTGTATCAGCGATAAGAGCGGAACATATATCCATCCAGCGTTCAAGTGGACCAGACTCCAGACTAGGTGTAGTCACAGTACTCAAAGGTGTTGGCTCCGCGCTCATGGCCCGCTTGATGTCTCGTTCAAGGTAGCGATATGGCTTGATAGCCTGGACAGCGAAGTCAGGATGAAATTGGCTCAACCACCCAGCCACGTTGACGGGCTGTTCTGGCTCTCCGTGAGGCGTTGATAGAACAGAAGACTCGCCAAAGCTGGAGCCCGGTTGACTTGAAGCTGATCCAAATCCTCCCAACAGTGGAGACTGTAGAGGGGAGTCGAAGTCGGGGAGCGGGAGGTCGACATCAATAACGCCATCTTTTTCATTCACTGACAATTTCAGATGACTCTCAAAGGTCTTCTGACGCTCAGGAATGGGCCTCGCTGCAGATGCAGGAATACCAGAGCAACCACCGTTGGAGTAAACACTGAGAGAGTCTTTTTCGCCGGAGTCGGGCGGAAGGGGAGATTCGACAGCATCGCTCTCGAAGACACGGTCCATAGAGAGCTCTTGTACCATATGCTCAAGCTGCGATCGAGGGCGCTCTTGCCCACGAAAGCCTACGCCATCATCTGTCGTTTGGAAGTACTCACTTTGATCAGTCGACGACGAGCGACGGCCACTCCAGAAGTTCATGAAGCCGCTCCAACGACTAGTGTTGCTGGAATCGTTGCTGGCAAGACTTGTCTGACCTGTACCGCTCCGTTGTAGGGTGCTGATCAAGTTGGTGGACGCCAGACTATCACTGCTTTCTGGTCTCATGTCAGGCATTGTGCCGGACGACTTTGTTCTGGGGAAAGTGAAGTGAGCGACAGGCATCGCATCTTGTGGGGTGGCTGTTGAAGTGGTCGCAGTGCTGCCTGTCGTGACTGGGCCTTCTGACATCGAGGGGACGACCAGAGTGGTGCGAACCGAATGAGCAGAGGAACGTCGCGAGTGGCCGAGCGGTCGTACAGGCTCTGACGTCTCAACCAGGGCCGACTCAGAACGTTCGTCTAGAGCCTGCGTAGACGGTTGATGCACACTCTGGGGTTTCGGGGGCTGCAGGAGGATGTTGGACATGCTCTGCTTGCCCCTTGGTCCTCGTTTTATCTGTCGCCTCAGTGATGGCTGTCTCGAGGGCGGCATGTTGGTCGGCGGCGACTGTGAGTAAGCACGCAGCGACGCCGACGTACCAGGGCGCGCGTATGTGCTGTCGCCCACGGCGGACGTATTGGGTGGTAAGAAAGCAGCCAATAGAAATATAAGTCTCCGAGCAGCCATCTTGTCTGGGGAAACAATGACAGTGCGACTGGGGATAGTGAGGTTCTCTCCGGCTGTTGCTTTCTGTAGTTCGCGATGGCGCTTGCGGTGCCACCTGGGGCCCAGTATGTTGAGCCATTCAGTGTGGTTACCGAGGAAAGCAGTCAGCAAGTTGAAGAAGAAGAAATTCTGTTCTCGTCGACCTGCCCAGCGACCAAGCCATCTGGCCTCCTCGCGCCACACGCCCCATTTGCCTTGACCTGTCATTACGCGGGGGATTCTCATGCCGCTCACGACGCGATTGCCGGTCAGCTCCGCCGCGTCTCGTATCTCTTTGTCCATCATGAGGGCGTTCGGCTGCAATCGTAAGGCTCGTCGACTGGCCTGCAGAGAGGAGTCTCGAAGACTCGTCCGCGAAGGCTGGTTCCTCTGGTGGTGGGCTACAGGTGTGGCCATGCCATCTGGCGATTTCGGCGCCTTGAACTGAGCCAATATGCGCTCCTGAACCACATGTTGGAGGCTGCTTAGAGCGCGCATGATGACGTCCCAGTGCTGGCCTACAACATCAACGCGGTCATCGACGTCACTACATAGCGACGAAGATAGGAGCGATTCAACGCCCAGGTTAGAGTCGATGAAGGCCCATCCCGCGCGGCGATCTGAGTCCAGGGACGAACCTAGAGAATCCTGTCCAGGGGCAGAGGTAGAGAGGTGCACAGGGGTCCTGGTATTGGCGCTCCGGGACGAAGGTCTCAGGCTCGGGGACGTATTCGATATGGGCAGGTGGAGGATAATGGTAATGGCGTACATGGGGCTCTTCCGCACGTGTGACGGGTATGGCGGCTTGGGCGCTCCTGGCTTGACGTTTGTGGACGGAAAAGGGAAGCCGTTGCCCTTTGGCAGTGAGCTCTGCGGTGTCGGCGTGCGGTCATCGTGATCCTCGTCCGGTATGGTGACGGAGAACATGCGAGTGATAAAGATGGTCCTTCGCTTGGGCTCTTTCGGTATGCTTTCGGACGAGTCGGCGCGGGGCATGTCGGTCGGGAGGTTGGCGGGAGTGAAGGATTTGGCGAGATGGCTTCTACGGCGGAGGCCCTCAGCGCGGCCCAGAGAGCTTGTGGCATCCTGGACGCTGGTGCTCAGTATGGAGGCATCGGCGGGCTTGGTGTCGAGGGGCACGATGTGGATCTTGTTGGAGTTGCCGCGGTAGTTCATGGCGAGGTTGCCGAACATGCAGTCGAGGCAGATGTTGGCCAGATCGGTCGACTCCTTGGCCCGCGCCTGGGCTTTGGCCTGGACCTGGGCGTGCTCGTCGATGTTGGGCATGGAGGAGATGGAGCTGCCGCGGGTGCGGATGCGCGTGAAGCCGGCGACCGTGGGCGAGCGCGGCGGCGGCGTGGGCTCTGTGGCGAGGGAGGAGCGACGGGCATGCAGTCCGCCAAACGACGGGCCTGCTGTGCCTGCAGCGCGCGCGCGTGTCGTGGGCGAGGTGGGCGGGTCGGCGCGCGGCGGGGCGGGCTTGGAGTCGAACAGGATGGCCTTGGGCATTTGGGGCGTCTCATCCTGGGCGATGATGATGCGGCAGTCGCGCGGGTAGTCGAGGTCGATTTCCGGCAGAGGCCCGTCGTGGGCGCTGCCGGGCGTCAGGGGCGCGGCGTGGAGGGGATAGGGCTGGCCCTCGGGGTGGTAGAGGGTGCTGGTCTCCGGGTACAGCAGATGGCGCGTGTGGCTCTCCTCCGTCGCCGAGTCGAGCACCGTCGGCGGCGGCGCGTGGGCGGCGCTGGAGCCTTTGCGGCTGCTGAAGAGGTGTCCGATCATGTCGAGAGGGCGCATTCCGCCATGGAAGCGCGCCCAAGTCTCAGCAGTGGGCGGGTTTGATACAGCGGGTATGGCGGGCTCGAGCAGTGCGGCGTGCTGGTTGACCCATGGCAGTCTTCTACTAACTCTTCTGTACTGCTGTAGTCGACGCGGGGCAGTGGATGAGGGGTGCGACAACAAAGAGAAGCGTGTCGCGTGGGCCGTGTTAGTGAGGGGAGCGCGCGTAGCCTAGTGCACAGCTGCCGCTGCTTAGTTATAGAAGGGCGGTGAGCGGCTTCTGCTACTATCGTGAAAGGATCGACTCACGACGCACATCACCGCTGCACGTCACCCCTCCACCACGGGCCCACCCAGCAATTCTCGACATCACACGCCCCCCAAGTGGGACGGCCAGCCCTCACTTCGCCGCGGTGATAGGTTTCAGTCGAGAGAAAGAGCTCCATCGACCTCCGTCATCACAGTGCTACACGTCCGCCGACGGCCATCAGCGCCTGTGGCTGCGGATCTCCCGGGGTACCCCAGATCACGGCATGCACGTCTTTCTAAACCGTCCTGGTGCAATCCGCCGCCTCGCTTTGACAGGCTGACGCACGCCAACCCGCACTTTCGATATCAACAACTTGCTCCGCGTCGGACCACCTCCGCGGGCGATTGTCGTCGGGGCGGAAGGGACTTGCCTTGCCTTCCCATTGGGACATGAAATTGCCCAGCAAACCGTAATCACTGTCAACACTGCCCTTACTGGACAATCAACGGGCTCTTATCGAGATCGTGTAACCGTGCCCGCGTATGTGCATGTGCGTTGAGGAATCTTGGTGTTGATAACACATTCAGACATCTCAAGATTGTCACTCCCCTGCCGATGTACCGATCATGCTCATGCAGTGCAATTGCTCTT